TCCATACTAGAATGGGACTACTCAATGGTGCGCATCCACGGCCTCACCATAAGGGGTCAAACCTATGACTTACAATTTCGAGGGCGAACGCTCAACCTCTAGACTGATCTAGCTAAGAATACTTCATAGTTCAAAGCATGAAGATTCTAAGATTCTCACAAACACCTTTGTACTTGTTATTACATGATTGTCCCAATATTTCACCTAGTTATAATGATTATTTAATTGACTTCTAATTAACTGATAGTTGTGGTTCGAGTTCAGGAATACATGGTTGAATAAATTAATAGAATGGGTTAGAGGAATTATCAAATAGTGATGATAGTTTCTAAAGTTGTAAAAGGTCTTCTTTTATAAAATACACTACTTTCCCTTTCAGTCTAGACGAAAATGAAACCGATTAATTTATTTGTATGTATTATTCATCATACATACAGGAGATTGTAAAGATGAAATAGATTTTCTGTTGTGTATCATGATTAGGGACACTTGAACACAAATATTTTTTATTAGATATTATTCTATGATAAATGCTGTTCGTGTATTATGAGTCGTTCTCATTCTTCATTTCGTTCACATTATTCTTTAGAAAAATCCAAATCTATAGACGATTCAGTAGTAGGATTGATACATTTTCGAAAGCTTACTCTAGATGATAATAATCTACATAAAATAACAGATTGGAATCAAATTCAGATTAAAAGTGAAGAATGTGTTTTCCAATGTCAATCATATGATCAAATAGTTGATGAACAATTTACAGGAATAAGTACTAGTCAGGAAAGTGATTTGTACATATGCAAAAAGGATAGAAGATTGATTAAATGGTCTGTTTTAGAAAGCACCAAAATGATGACAGCGTTATTCTTTGATGAATTACCAATAATTTTTGAAAAAGAGATTAACAATGGAATAACAGGAAATGAGATTCTTTCTGAATGCTATCGTGATAATAATAACAATAGTTCCAACGAGAAAGTAAAACCATACTATAGTCATCGTTCAGTGATTTCACTGCCGCGATCTGCAGCCGATGAACAACATTTGGGGGAATTTCACTTAAACCATGAACGAGTAAGTTAGTCTTTGTTTTAAGATTTAAAGTAAATGTTTGTTTTGTAATAAACACGAATACATATGGATCAAGCGATATAATTTAAGTGTAGCTAATGGTTTGAGTTAATTAAATAATCTTTTCATTGTTTAAGGAGTTATCAAAGACCTTGAAGATTGTAGTTTAACACTATTAACTCTAAAGTGATTCATTCTCGAAAGAAGCACTTGTTTAACTGTTTGTCTGATATTTTTGTGTCTTAAAGGAGTTTTAATGTAATCGGATACACACTCGGGCTATCATGAAAAGTCAAGTATGATCGATGTTACTGTACGAACAAAATATTTGAATTTCAACTTCCGATTGAAATCCCACTGAGTAAAAAGCCTGTAGTGTCAGTCATTACTTTAAGCTCATAATGGGTCTTATTCTAGTTTTTGGACAAACTAATCTATTCACTCTACTTGAGTCATATTTTGACCTTGTTAATTATTTGCTTATCAGCCTTGACTGTTTTTATATGAGCGTATATGTGTGTACACATCATATCCCATGACTCATCACATATCTGTAGTTTATTCTGTCTGCCTATAAATATTACGTAATGCCTGACTAGAAATGGAGTTGGCTTACCAGCCATCTGCCTTGCGCGTTACATTCACTTAACATACAAGATATACGTATTCAAAAGCCATTCTCGTTAATTGACTTATCTAAATTCCGTTACTGACTAACGTGATTTCAGTCGATAATTGTATACGAGGATAGGTAATAACGAACATTCATACGGTCTAATAGGAGTCAGATCCACGGGCCACTAAAAACCATCACAATGAAAGTTACTATTTTTCAATTATTTGAAAGGAACATTATTTGTTGACAAGCAGCAAGTAGTAGCTTTAAACAGTTTTGCTTAAATAATCTTCACTATACTGTAGTAACAAGTGATCTGAGATAAGGATAATACAATAAATCCTACACACTTTTAAGTTCAGGAATTCTGGTTAAACTATGTAGTTTTTTTAGATTGATGGTATCAATCAAATCTGTGATAATTAATTTCTCATGTGCCATCAGTCTTTGTGTTACATACACATCTTTCTAACGTTTATCAAAAAGATTGAATTATAAATGGAAACGATAGTCCAATAAAGTGACTTCAATAATATGACTTATCTATTTCTTTCATAATTGTAAAACGTTTGAAGAACCTGGGATCACTTCAGATCCAATCAATTTCCTCTGAGGGTGACAAATCTTTTTTAGAACAAATTTTATGTAAACAATGTGTAATTAAACTTATATCAACCTGATAAGCAGAGTTGAATGATGACTAGCAGTGAGATTAAGGATTCATGTTTCGTCTTATTCAGGACTCATCAGATGAATGCGCCCACATCCCGGAGTTGATGTTCACCCTGGAACTTGAGCCCAGTACTTTTCGCTCCAAACGCCACCGAGTTGTCAATTTAACTACTGAGTCCAAATAGCTACTAAGGTCTGTGATGAGGTTGAATTTTCATTTATTTGTATTGGTTATTTGAACCATCCCATTGATGCTTAGGACTGCAAATGATCTTGTTTATGTTACCCTGTTATTGCCATCAAGTCACAGATGCACACATATCAAGAGATACTGGTTAGTTATAGTCTTAAACATCAATCGAAGGATTCAAAAAACCAATGCAAATGAATTTATATTAGGCTGTTTGATAGAAAAGCTATTTATGCATGTATCACAGTGTGTAATTGTATATCCAGCGTCAAGATTGTACGTATAAAACTGTTTTTGGATATTGAACAATGGACTGTGTGTTTTGTCTTTCATATTGATCTATATTAAGTAAATAATCACTATTTTTCTCATTTTATTCATGAATACTCGCCCGACGCACAGATTTTTCGTTACTTATTCATCCAAGATTTGAAAGCGGCTTCGTATTATCAGGCGAATTTCTTGGAACGACATGGTTTGACAGAAACTGTAAGAGCAACTCTTTGCGATTGGATGATAAGAGTGAGTTTAATCATTAATAAGATGAAGTTTTTTTAGAGATCTCGTCTAATCGAGGGATTATTTATATTCAGAATTAGCACTAGTTGGGAAGCAATTTAAAGTCAGGATTGTGCTAAAATCCAAAATAACGGGATTTGAAAGTGTGGAGAGTTGAATTCCAACCCAAAGGTCGAACAGTATTGTGGTCCCTACATGAGCTGAATGTCCTATACTATCCTGTGAATAGGGTTCATAGGTCCTAAATTATGAATGAAACAGCCGTCAAATCTCATTAGTTTTTTGTAGTTTTTCAAGTGATGCTAGTTTGGGATCAAAGTAAAATAAAATATATTTTAGTATTTTAAATATTATTCCCATTTAAAATCTTTCTATGAATAACAATAATGTCTAGAACAGAACTTGTACTTTTTAGGTTTTATTAACACCAATAATGTATTTCAAAAGCTTCATCAACACGATGTTTACCACAACACAATAGTAGTTAAACTGGATTGATGAATTGTACTGGGCGAGTTACTAATTAAATTACTATAATCATGGCATTACAGTATATTTTACTTTTGAATATTTACTATAGCCTAGTCCCTTTACTTGCGTTTCTTGTGTTCTTTGCAAATACACGCAAACAGGTAAAAATAAGATGAACATGAATTTAAATTTATGGAAGTAATTGCAACTTACATAGCGGACTACTCTGAAAAGACAAGACTATAGAAAACTTGGAAGTATTTATCAGGTGTTCTGCCATAAGTTGGAACATTCCACCACTATTAATTATAAAATCATCAGCAGGATTATACCAAATCATCCTTAGCTAATGTAACTAGATAAAGTATCTTAAGACTAATGAGTTAGATTCAGAAAGTTCTTATTTCTGACTTCAATTAATTAGTAACGGAGTGAACATTATAGAATAACATCCATAGATTACTATTTCATTTATATTTTTGACTTTATAAATCACAATCTGTCATAAGACGTATCTCTATAACACATTCATGGAACCACCTATATTAATGTGAATAAAACTGTCCTATTCAGTTTATGATATTGAATAGTGCTCAGTAACTTAGATTAAAAATTTAACAAAAATTACTTCAGGATGTTTACCTTTAAGTGAGTTATCTTCTCGTATCCATAAGGAATACTATTCATAGAAACATAGTGGAAGTTTTTATGCAACTGACGGGTTCATTTTAGGAAGAAATAATGTTAAGCTATAATGTAACGTATAATTAGTGAAGTTTCAAAAGCTGAGATGAACAATCCTAAATAATCCAACTGTAATGAACGATGACTTCGTAGGAAAACCAATTGGTTATTTTGTGCAAAATCACACTAGCGTGGTAAAAAAAAACGAAAATCATGCATTAAATACATTATCCATACATCTTCCTTCAGTTGTCTTTTACATGCTCCATGATTCTCCCACTCCCGTTGTCATCACGATTGCTTACTAATTCCGTTACTGTTCTCGTCAGTTCACTCTTGTGCTGTCAGGCATTCTACTTCCGATTGGTGCTACATACTACTAATATCTGTCAGCATAAGTAGTGTGACCATCAACAAGTTAACGAAAATATTAACACAGAACTGCATCAACTTCATATTGGGTAGAAAATAATTAAATCTAATTAAGTTACCAACATACAAATAGATTACTCAGATTATTGAACGAATATTTTTCTACCCTCAGTCAATGAAGTTAGTTCAGATTAACATGTTTAAATAAATAAAAAAACATCCAAGCAAAGAATAGCAAATCTTTTCAATTAAAATACATTTTAATAGTAATGGATTCTAGTCATTCTTCCAGTTTGAGTCACTTAGCTAAATGATCTCAATGTGAATTTGATTACTTACATCTAAACAGTACTATGGAACAAAAAAGATAGAATTGTTACCTGTCCATTTAATCACTTATGCTTTAAATTCCCATATACATTATCTTTTGTTTCAATTCTAGGTACAACAATATTTAAAGTTGCGCACAGAATCATTGCATCTAGCTGTCAGTTTAGTTGATCAGTATACCTGGAGACAAATAACTTTATATCCGTCAGAATACCAACTACTTGGTGTTACAGCAATATTTATTGCTGTAAAATTCGTTGAACGCTTTCCTCCAGCAACTAAAATTTTGTGTTATTTAACTGAGGATTCGTATAATTCTAAACAGGTAACTACTAAATTGACTTGATTAAAGTATTTTATTACTTATTTGATATATAATAATAAGGATAATCATACAAATTACCCAGAAAGTGCAGATTTGTGTACTCAGGTTTGATCCACATACATAGAATAAATGTTATTGATCCTATCCGGTTTTCAACCGGGTGTAGATGGAGATAGGTTTTGAGACCTCAGCACAGTGGAGATCAACTCGAAGCATTCGATCTTCATGATGTGTTATTGGAAAAGATAATATATAATCTGAATAATCATATTTATTCTACTTTCAGTTATATAACGGCCGATTCCATCTGTCAGCTTTTCATCAGTATGCAAATAACTATTTATATACATAAACTTTCTGGTCTATTATCAGTGTCAAGTGTAAATAAAGACTAATCAATTTTGTTAATATACTTGCGACATATTATAAAGCATATTTCTAACGAACTGAGTAAATAGGAATCAAATAGTTTATGTGTTTACGTAATTAATAATAATAATGCTGTGTGACTACTGATGTTTGATAAGTTGTTTTTAGGATATCAAATTTGTAGTGTTATCAACAAAGTGGTAAAATAACACTCCCATTTAGATAGTTTACATAAGATGTTCTCTTCAATCAACAGAATCTACCCTACTAACATGTGATCACTTTCATCTCTGCAAGGACAAGTAAATGTAGTTCAAAATGAGTGTATTATAATGTGATTCAGAGTTTGTATTACATTTAGTTTCAATAGTTAGTAATAATTAACTGTGAAGTGCTGAAAACTGTGGTCAATTACCTCACCGATTTTCGTGTTCCAACCAGCTTCTCAGGTATCTTCAATTGTAGTCGAATGACTTGTCATCTACATTACAATCTATCTCATCAACATTTCGATTCATCCATCTGATCACTCCAGTTAGATCAATAAACTTTAAACAATTTACGAGGGTAACTTTCATTCTTATTTTATTTGCATGTTTAGACTAGTAGGTTTTTCAGTCACTGCACAAAAGTTGAGACTTATGATAGTAGTCCACAAAGGATTAGTTGTAAAAAGCTCACAGAAACAGTATTTATAAGCACAATATCTCTTAGTCATTACTTACGTTAGAAATTGTTTCCATGATGCCTAGTAGCTGGAACTGGTTCTCATCTAAGCTCTCCCATGGCTGCTTCTGAATCTGGTGTTATAACATTCAAAACAGACCACAGAATAACAAATGATCATTAAAATTGAAGCAGCAGAAGTGAAACATATTTCAGATATTTTTTTTCCTGACACCCTAGTCTGGAATTATCCACGTATATAACGCCATATTAGGGCGAACAACTTGCCTGGCTCTTCCAGGTTTTCAATAGCTCTTAAGCCAAAGTCAGTACGACATGAAGACAATGAATCTAGTTTGACCATTCTACTTTACTTTGTTTTTTTACTTACAAAGGTGCTAGATTTTGAATTTAAAATGTTAGAAGCATTGGATTTTGATATCAATATACCCTTACCGCATCACTTTTTAGATCGTGCATTTGCAGCTTGTAATGATCTAACTCTAACTGGCAAGGCAAAGGTAAGATTTTTCTTAACTATAGGAATAAAAAATTGGTTACATTCGGTATCTTTATCAAGTTATTTTTACGTACGATAGGTTAACTATGATCGGTTCATGATACAGAATATAAAAGTAAAAGAACTCTGTAAACTCCTTATAGTAAATATTCATGTATTCTCTAGCGTTTAATTTCGACAGATAATTCCGGAGTTCTAGTGAGAAGCCATAACCAGCGGAGTTCAACAATACTGAGTGTAAAGTAGCTGCCCATTCAATACATTGGAAGGTGATTGGACGATATTATGCATTGGTAGCAGTTAGACATGTACACAATTGTACACCGGCCCCACGCTCTAGAGACTAAGTGTACGTGAGAGAAACCTAAGGTCTTGGGTATGGACCCCTTGCTGTGGGATCGTAAATGAGCACTGCTGATGAGTTCCGTACCAGGACGAAATAGATGTCCAGTCCTTCCTGTTTCTTACTGCTTTTTTAAATAATAGTGAATAATAATGACTAATTATAAGGATGTTAACTATGATATAATAAGATAACGTTTATTTCGATACTGTAGAGAATCTTTTTGGAAGAGTTAGCCCTGGAACAGAATAGCTTATTTTGACATAAGTTAATATTGAGCAGATTTCGTCGATACTGGCACTTGGTTAGATTACGCTTAGCAGTGAAATTCAAGATGCGTGTTTCATCCGCTGATGCTCGTCAGCTTTACGTATCTGGATCCTAGTGTTTATGTTCATATTAAGGCTCAGGACCTTTCACATTCGACGTCGGAATAGCCACCTACTTGTTCAACGGGTATAAGGTTACTTGTAAGGGTTTGTATTTTCCCGTTTGAGTGATTTAACAATTTGGTTGACACACGAGCGCAGATACTAATGTAATAAGAGCAGTAAGCTGGAACAGAGCTAGGAAGGTCTAACCAAAACAAGGGATCAGTTCACGAAAGTCATCGACAAACAGATGGAGAATATCTGGTTGGGTTCCACGTGATTATCATGATCAATGGCTGAAGAGTTTGGGTGACATGGATTAAAGTCTTCTGCAATGGCGCAAATACATTCATTCTTTGTACTTCCAGAGTCTCTAAATCTCTTTATACTTTCACGTATACCCTTTTTTGTACTACTGCTGAAACTGCCACTACTTCTTCTACTCCGGGGTTCGTTTTCACAATTTTTCATCACTGTGCTCATGCAGTGTGGCAACTTGAACCGAAGAATATATGAACCGGGTTTCGTGTTGCATGTAACTAACTGACTGATGTAACAAAAAGAAGCTTGATGTTGAAGATTTTGAGCCAATTAAACCGCTCGATTTTATCAGAAATTTAAAATTTTTGGATAGATATTTAGATAAGACAGCTTTGTATTTCAATCTTCAGCTCTTCCAAGATCTATACTGTTGGAATTCCATTTGATTTTGGTGATGAATTCTATGCTGGAGAAATATTAAAGTTTGAGTATATAATAATCGACTCATCTCCGTTTAAAACTCTCCATCTACATGTAACCTTAAACCTCATACGCTTCAACGTTACCTACTTATCTTGCGGCGAGCATGATGTTTCGAGATCCAATTATAATTAAATAAAACTAAGTGAAATAATGATAAAGTTAATTTGTTAAAAGAGACTCGTTACGTTTCGCTTTTACTAAGACCTGTAAATTGTTGATGCGGAACAATAAAAGTGGTAAGAAAACACAGAGCTATACCTAACAGTCAATTCAGCTAATGATTGTCATGTTTAGTTGTTGGATAAATGAGATAACATAAATACTGTGATTTCATCGAACTAACAGATAAGTAAGATAGTATATGTAAAGTTGGTGACTTACAACGTAACAAAATCTTGGTTCGAATAATAACCAATCCTTAGCCACAACTTCGACTAACATAGTTATTCTCCCGAAAATGAACTAGTCTTTTGACCAAGGATATCTTAGGAATCCGAGTTGGTCTCCATAGGAAAGAAAACATTATTTTTTGTACGACAGGAAGATTACAATGGCTTAGTGTTTAATGCATCAGGGTTATCAGTTATTAGGTTGCTTGTTCGAACTTCGCTTCTACTACAATTTGAATAGGCCTAATGCAAAATGTGCTACTTGTGATACAACGTATTAACATGAGTCTGTTTACTAAGTTGCACTTAAATTTTCAAAACCCGTGTCTTGCAATTAGATTAGTTTAGAAGTATAGGCATTTTTGTATCCTGACCTAATAATAATAATAATAATAATAATAATAATAATAATAATAATAATAATAATAATAGGCAATTGGTGATTGAAAATTATTCTCTGCTTCTCTCCTAAAAATTTTTAGATAGAATTAGTTTGTCGTTATCTTTTCGAATTGAACTTAACTGAACTATCAACTGCAGGTACTTTAGCTAGTGTAAAATGCGCAGCTGGTGTCTACTTGGCACGTGAACTTATACGATTAGAGTATGAAAATGGGAAAAGCGAAACAGATGATATTCGGATTGAAAATAATGGCAGTTTGGGTTTATCAGTAACATTTGAAACATGGCCAAAAGCACTTGGCCTAAGTATGGGACATGAGGATGTTACCAATCTATTGCCAATGGTACTTACATATGTGCAAAATATTGTACGAACTTTACCAATCTCCAATATAAACAACAGAAATTACGAGGTAAGTAATAAATCCAAATAAGAAATGTAACAAAAAAAGAAATCTCGAAATCGGTACGTTTAGCACTAAAGGGTTATTCTTAAATAGATATAAGTAGCCACAAAATCGTATGTATTAAGTTTTAGAAAAAGGCGTGCAGCAATACTGCTTGTCTCAATTATTTATGTTATTCACGCGTCACTATCTGTTGGAAACGAAGAATGAGTGAACAATCACTTGTTGACTAAATAGCAATAGGGTGATACTGATTTGTTCTGATTATTATGCATACAAGTTAACAGATCTCGGTGAGCGGAAACTACAGTATTTAATCAAATAACTACTTGGTAAACATTGGTGTATATCGGTTGATTACTAAGTGTCAACTAGTATCATCCTTAGGTGATATGTAATGTATTGAGTCTCTGGATTGAGGAAGGTTTCAGAGCGGTACAAAACCAATCATCAGTATTTTTAGACTTTAGGTATTTAGTCTGTTGTCAAGACCCTATAATCACCCCACAGGCTCGTTGCCACTTGCAAGCATTCATAACTAGGAATCTATGGAAACTCATGCTGTTTCAAAGAGTTGAAGATGCGTCACTTATCATGAAATCGGTTATTATTTGTTATTTGGCGAATAATTTGTAGTCATACTCAGTAATGAGATGGAGTCTGATTAACCAGTGGATTAAACTGAATAACGTAGATTCGAACTACCAGAAAGCTTGCGAATTATGTTTGGAGGATACTTTTTCTTGATTGGATTACCATTATAAGACTGATAAACGAAGTGAAATTCACTATCCGAATTTCGGAGCAACAGTTACTATATTAGGGTTAAATGATACTGTAGCGTGGTGTCGAGTTGGGATTAACTATGAACACCGCTACCAAGAAAAACGTGCCAAGTTAATCAGAAGGCGAAGGTAGAACGTAACCAAATAAATCCGTAAAATCTCCGAGAAGCCAAATACCAGAAAGCAATTAATGGACCAAATCGAGATATATATTTGCCGGCGATCTCGTGGTATCGAAAGGATACCGAGATCGTGCCAGGATACAAGCTTGGTTACAGAACGTAACCGAATTCGCGCGAAGTCACAATCAAAGTGTGAGTATAAGAATGGAAACACAAAATAGCTGTCATTAGCACAGTCAAACAAAAGCACGTTAAAACAAACACTGGTACAGTTGGTTATAATAATAATTGTTTTTATTAAACCAGTCGTGTTCTCGTGATAAATGGTGAGTCACTACAATACTATCTACAATGTCCCAAACTTCTGACGTATTGTGATGTTGAAACTTCAGTGAAGATAATAACAAGTTACATCTTTATTGTTCGCTCGGCTACGATCATAACAGATATATGGCTCTATGGTGAAGTAAGCAAAAATACTGATTTATAGATGTGTTTAGACAGAAACGAGTATACAAACCTGAACGGCAAGAATAGTTTGTCCGAATGTAATCAGTAATCTTCATTGTTATATCTACCATCGAGATGGGTTGGTACTTAAAATGATAGGCTTTCGTCCAATGTATCTCAGGTTGAAACCCATCTGTGCCTATTATTCGGTTCCAAGAGCCGAGGTGTATCATTAACCGTCACATGAGGATGTGTCAAGTTGAGTACACTAATATTATGTAGAACTTGATGTATATATTACGATAATACCATGTAATAATTAATATACTATGAGTTTACTCATTGAGCCACTTCATTTTTACCGCTCATACGTTTTAACTAACTGATCAGATGGTAGAGATTAAGCACATGTTTATTTTACTAATATTTATTTACAGGCTGCTTTTCATAAATTCAGTAATCGAAGCTATGGCCGAATAGCTCAATCTAGTTTGCTTTTGGACGCTGATTATGATTTTATTGTACAAGATATCAGAAGAAAAATGGCATCCAATTCAAAGCGGACAAATATAGACTGTCCTGAAGAAGGTCGGAACGTACAGCAAACAACTTTAAGAATGAACATGTGATAATTACAGTTAGTCCCCCTATTATCCAGATAGAAAGATTCAAGATCAAAACATTCAGCTCGATCGATTACACTTGGACAAAGATGCCAAGGAGAAAAATATCTTCCTTAATAGTTAAATTAACATTTGCTTCTCCCACCTGTTTATTCATCCGACGTTCTACAATACATATTGTTGCTTTTCTCTGAAAAATTACTTTACTGCATAAAATTGTAATAACTTCGATTCGTCGAATTCGTTATTTTCATCAACTACCTACCTTCTTTTTTTCTTTTTACTGAGTGGCATAATATATATTTTTTATCATTTAGTGTGTATATTCTTGTTGAATAGAACTGACTTGTTTATTCACTGTAAAAAGATGTTAACGATCCAAGAACTTCATTCGTTCTTTATAACCTTGCGTAAGTACATCATCACTTGATTGAATTAGGCATATTTCTTAGTTTGATTTAGTGATAATATTTCAAGTCAATACTAACAGTTCGTAGAAATATCCATCACTGATTTACAGACTAACGATCACAGCAACCAGTTTAGAATTATAAATTAAAATTTACAATTCATCACTGTCACATTGATCTGGTATCATTTTAAACGGTAAACGTATTTTAATTAGGAGAGCCTAATAAAGGTTCGACAGTATACCTCTTTTTTTTAATTTGTCAATATCCTTGTATAATTGAGATCGTAAGAAATTATTCATTATGTTTTATTTAAAATGTAATGCTGAAGGTGGCTGTTGAGTCGGCTTTCGTAGAACTTCAACGGAGCCTCCAGAGGCCCAAAAGTAGCCGAAGAGTCCTAGCCAATCAGAGCATGATGGAGCATTTTAGAATTCCAACGTGGCGTGTTACTATTGGTATGGTCATTAGCATAATATGTCGTTAACGGATTGGCAGAAATATGGTGTTGATTTAACAAACGCTAACATCTATAAATACTCATGATTTTCTGTACAAGAACGAACCTTGGAGTAAAGTATTTTCTCTCATACTTTGCGTTTTCTCTCTGGTGTTCAGGTCGCTGTGTAGTTCTAGGTTGCGGGTTACCAGGATAGCTTAGGAACGAATATAGCGTTCAATCGACAAGATTTATCAGTGGCAGTATCATCCATTAAATAAAGTGCGCCAGTTGTAGCAAGCATTATATTGACCAAAGTGGATTCCCCTATTATTTGTGTATAGATGAGCATAGATTATTAGTGTGAAGATATAACATATTTCATCAATATGCGTAGATAATTATGGAGAAGAATTTGATTGGGAAAATGTGGAAATTCTAATTCGAAAAAATAAGGATCGTAGAGGATTCTTAAGAGTTAATCTGAAATCACTAAGAAATATCGACGGTGACCTGACTTATCAATTTACACAGGTAGGGTAAGTTAGTCAGGTAGCAAGTTTCCAATTGGACATGACAGTCAGCAGGGACACAATGATGAATGAATAGTCAAATAGATCAATTCTATATGACATAATTCCCGACGATGTAGTTCAGAACGCCAATGAAGGCTTCACAATTCAACCACGCAGATAAAGGAACACATTCTAACCAAAATGTTAATACATTTAATATAACTAAGTAGCTACGTATAATTTTATATTCGGCTCAAATGAGTAGGTTTTTGTATAAGACTTAGATATATAACCCGATATATGGGGAAGGGAGTAAAAACGATGTGCAAATCGATAACTGACATTCAAATGAAGTCATGATCATTATTGATAGTCACTATGAAAGGTATCACGAACAGATAAACTGAAAGTATCTAATCACATTTAAGCTACTGAATAAACACGATAGAACAACTATCGATTATTAGTATCTTCTAAGGAATAATCATGTTTTATCAAACAAAAACTATTGTTAGTTATTGTATTCATTAGTGAAAAGTATAGTTCTTATTTTTAACCGAATTCATATGGAGAAGAATGTGATACCATGAAAATACTCTTGATGTTAGTGAAAGGGAAAAGAGAAGAAAAAAACAAGTACACAGTAAACGTTAATCCCAAGAAAAAAAATTAGGTTTCTCATCACAGATATAAATATATATTTATTTAGATATATAATTTGTATATACAGAAAAACCTGAATGCTAGAATACATCAGTTACATTTTTTTAAAAATGGTTGATCTAAAGTTGATCTAGATCGAATACTTTTCAGGCACTGAACGCAAACAATAAATAAAGTAAGCTTCACCATTTGATTTATATAATAAATTATTGTTGTGTATATGAATGCCTGTAATTTTGAGTGGAAAAAAATAAAATATAGTATAAATACTGACTTTGAAAATGTAAGAGAAAAAATCATTTTATTTATGTGATTTATAGATAATTTAATAGTTTAATTCGTGAGTCAAGTGAAGGTAGACCATCATGGAAAACCTGGAAGCACTGAACGGCCGTTTCATCCTAGTATAAAACTCCTCAGGAGTGCGCAATCCATGATCCCGCCTCGCGAGATCCGAACCCAGGACCTATCAGTCTCGCACGTGGGCGCTTAACCATTAGACCACTGAGCCGGCATCCAACGATGTTAATGTTTTCTAGCAATGTTATGCATTCAAAAGGATTTTCCGATTATTTATTAATATAATTTAGGTTTTTATTTATTGTGAAATAGGAATGAAGAGTTTTTGAGAAGAATCAAAATAGAAAATGTCATAGATAGACAAATATGAAGAGATTTGATAACAATTTAAAATAGTAGGTGTTATATCCAGAAGCTCAGTTTTTCATTATACCACGTACAACTAGAACACTCGAATGCCAGAACCCTCCAAGTCGTAAATGAGAAAACAGAACACAAGTGAAGGGAATGCTATTCCAAACAGTGTCATTTATGGTACAGAACTGTCAGGTATTCATAATTTTTAGTAAAAACCAAATCATCATTACAGTCCTCCAATCCGCATACAGGGGGTTATTAGCCAATAGGGAAGATATACATAGGGATTCTGGAATATTCTCCTAAGAAATGATTGGATCGAATATCTTCAACTCTTTCTGAACATCTTAGAACTTTATCAAGTTCACCCGTGGACCGTCCTCACAGTAGGATTTCTGATTAAGGCCTTCATGATGAAATATTAGATGATGTAACTCAAAATTGATTACGATGTAGTATTTCTATTGGTTTTACATTATCTAGTAGCCTGCTTAGACATACTGCCTGTTCTAGATTTATTTGAACTAAGAATGAATATAAATCATAAGTGCATTCACAGGGTATTATGAAAGCCTTAAAACCTATAGTGATGAGATATACTGGAAATCTCAAAATGAAATACTTCAATTATTGGTATATTCCCCCTGATAGTCCACCGTTTGTAAAAAAGACAAGAGATGAATGTATTGGAATTCGTGTACTGCTCAATATCTGATGGATGAAAAAAAGTTGTGACACCTGAACTGATAATAAAGTTTCGCTACTGGAGATGAATAGGAGTTACTGACTATTGGTAAAATATTTTTTATCATTTACATCTTCACAGTGATTTGTTTATTCTGAACATGTATGAAGGATTAGCTGAATCATTAGAGTATATTTTCCATTCATTTTAATACAACTAATCCTAGCACATAAAAAGGTGTAGTCGAAAGCCGAGAATATGAACATTTGTGTGACTGTTGGGTTGCATGAAATTAAATTAACAGCAAGAATCACTCGTAACAGATTGTCGATTAACTGGATGAGATATTCAGTAGGTGCTCAGCTATGAGATCAACAGACTGGATTCCGTAAGGATCGGTCGTACATAAACCAAATCGCAACACTATAGATAATCGTCGAACAGTCAGTTGAGTGGAAGTCGTCACTATACATCAACTTCATTGATTATGAGAAAGCGTTTGAAAGTGTGGATAGGAGAACCTTATGCAAACTTCTTCGACACTATGGTATAGCTGAGAAGATCGTCAACATCACACGGAATTCATACAACGGACTACACTGGAAAGTCGTGCATAGAGGACAGCCGACAGACCCATTCCAAGTGAGGACCAGAGTCAAACAAGGCTGCCGACTCTCTCCATTCATCTTTCTTCTGGTGGTTGACTGGATTATGAAGACCTCGACATCTGAGGGAAAACATGGACAGCTCGGAATCAATTAGAAGATTTGAACTTTGCAGATGACCTGGCCTTTCTATCCAATACACATTAACAAATGCAGATGAAGACAACTAGTGTATCAGTAGCCTCTGCATCAATAGGCTTCAACATACACACAGGAAACAGCAAGACTCTTAAGTACAACACAGAGAACACCAACCCAATCACCCTTGATGGAGAAACTCTGGATGTGGAATCTTTCATGTACCTGAGAAGCCTCATCGATGAACAAGGAGGTTCAGATGCAGATGTGAATGTAAGGATTAGTAAATCAAGAATGACGTTTTTACAATTGAAGAACATATGGAACTCGGAAAAACTGTCAATCAACATCAAAGTCGCGATCTTCAATACAAACGTCAAGACAGTCCTACTGTACGCAGCTGAGACGTGGAGAACCATCATCAGAAAGGTACAAGCATTTATAATTAATTGTCTACGCAAGATAATTAATTTCTGTTAGCCAATACCATCACTAACAGCCTACTGTGGGAGAGAACAAACCAGCTTCCAGGTAAAGAGGAAATTAGAAAAAAACGTTGGAAGTGGATAGGACACACATTGAGAAAATCATCAAACTGTGTCACGAGGCACACCCTAACTTGGAATCCTGAATGGAAACGGAAAATAGGAAGGTCAAAGAACACTCTACGTCAGGAATAGGAAGCAGACATGGAAAGAATGAATAGTGACTAGAAAGGACTGGGAAGGATAAGGATGGATGGAGAGTGCAGGTTGGCGGCCTTTGCTTCTCGACGAGGGGTAACAGGCGTAAGTAAGTACGTGACCTTCAGATCAGAGTTGCAGTTCAATGAGATTCATTAAGTAAGTTGTTACGGTATCAGTTACATGCGGAGAATCTATGAATACCATCAAACTTTCTTTTAGAAAACAATAATATATCACTTACTTATTTCAGCATCATATCATTTATAGACAGTTGTTTTATTATTGTTAGCAATTGCACCAACTGGTAGACGATAATGTGAGGGATATGGAACATGTTTCATTACTGCAGGATTGTTATTCATCATCGATGAAGTAACATTAATATTATTATTATTACTGCTACCACTAGAATGACCAGTGTGTACAGTTGATGAATAAATATTATTCCCTGACGAACGCATTATTGCTTGCCTTTTAGCAGGTGGCTCTGCTTTACTATTTATTCCATGATATTTGTTTGAATCGAATGATACTGAATGTGTTACATGATGAATTGGTAATTCACCTGTAGTTACATTACTGTTACTGTTACAATTAATATTATTCGTTGTTATTTTAGTTGTAGATGTGTTAATAT